CCCCCCCGCTGCTGTCGCTGTCGCTGTCGGTGTCGCTGTCGCTGTCCGCGGTGTCCCCATAGCGGTCCTGCACTGGGGGGGGGCACACGGAGACCCCTCACAGCTCTGCCCGGGGTACCCCAGGCCCCGCCCCCTCCCGGTAGCCCCGCCTTCTCCCGGTAGCCCCGCCCCCGCTCACGCCGCTGCAGTTCCTCGCGCCGTCGGTACCGCGCGTAGCGTTGGGCGAAAGCCGCGTTCACGCGCAGCTCCGGCGCCGCCATTTTCCCCCGCCCCTTTGCGTCTCACTTCCTCTACGTCACTTCCGCTGCGCCTCACTTCCGCTCCCCGCCTCTCTTAAAGCGGCCACGCGTTGGGCCCCATCCCCTCCAGAGGCTGATTGGCTGCGGTGCTTGGGGGGGGTGGAGGGGGGCGGGATTCGGGATTCGAAACATCGCGCGGGAATCATCGCCCCCCCCCCCAAAATGAAACCCGAACAAAAGGGCGGGAACAGCGCGGTCACAGCTGTGGGCTTTATGGGGAAACCCTGCGAGGGTGGGGGTCCGGGGGGGGCCCGTGGGGGGTCCGTGGGGTTGTGGCCCACGGCGGGGCTCCCGGGGTCCTCAGGCGGTGCGCAGCTGGTAATCTGCGGGGAGAGAGGCGGTGAGGAAGGGGGTTGGGCGGACCTGCGGGGTCCACGGTGTTTTGGGGGGGGGTGGTCCCGGCCCCCCCCCCCGCCGGCTGTAGCGCCCCCCGGCCCCCCCCCCCCCCCCCCCCCCCCCGGGGCCCTCCCTGCCCCGCCCCGGGGGGGCCCACCGGGGGGGGCGAGGAGTGGGGAACCCTCCAAGGCGCCACCATTGTCTGCGTCCGCCTGTTCCATCCCCCAAAACCCGTTGCGACCCCTCCCTGCACCCCCCCCCCCCCCCGTCCACGTGTCCCCCAAAGCGCAGGAGCCACCCCCAACCCCTCCCCCGCGGTGCCGCCCCCCTCCGTCCCTGCTGTGTCACCTGGATGCCGGACACGGTGAAGTAGGGGATCTCGAAGCGCACCGCGATGGGCGGCCGCCCCTCGTCCTCCTCCTTCTCCACGCTGGGCAGCCCCAGGTGTGCCCGCAGCGTGTGCTCCTTCCCGCCCTGCCGACGGGGAATGCGGACACTGCGACGGGGGGACGTCGGCACGGGGGTGCGGGGACGTGGGATGCGAGGACACGGGGACATGGCTGTGGAGTTGTGGGGACGTGGGGACATCGCCATGGGGATGAGGGGACACAGGGATGTGAGGATATGGGGACGAGCGGGATATGGGAATAAAGGGGGCAGGGGGATGTGGGGTGACGGGGACATCTCCGTGGGGACAAAGAGGCTTGGGAGAGCTATAGGGACACGGGAATGGAGAGCTTTGGGGACATGGGGACAGGACACAGATGGAGGATTCAGGGACACGGGGACACAAAGCTCGGGGATGTGGGGACGCGGGGACGTGGGCACAGGCACGCAGGGCTGCCCGGACCAGGGCTGCAACATGGGGACATGGGGGCGGTGCTCTCACTGGGAAGGATTTGATGGCCCAGATGACGACGTTCCTCTCGGGGACGTAGCGGGCAGCGCCGGCGCTGGCCTTGAACCGCGGCGAGTCGGCGTCGCTGGGCACCGGCACCGCGATCTCCACGCCGGTGGCCACCGACTGCTTCTTGAACTGCCCCTTGGCCTGCCGGAGCGGCACCTCGTCACCGTGATGTCGCCCCACACGGCACCACCAAGATGTGACGGCGCCGGGTGCCACCGTGAGCACGGCGCCATCGTAACTGTGGTCAGCGATGTCACTGCGACCAGGACGTCACCAAAGAGGGGTCTCCAAGGCCTCACTGTGCCGTGACCTGGCCCTGAGCTCCCCCTCCCCACGCCCCCCCCACGCCGACCTTGACGAGGATCTCGAGGCGGCTGTGTGAGAAGCGCTCGATGACGGACTCGATCCAGATGAGCGGCTTGGCAGCGGTGCTGAGGCGGTACGACATCAGCTCGAAGTCGCCGTCGGGGGGGATGAAGGAGATGGTGCGGTCGTTGTCAAAGCGCGAGAGCCGCACGCATTGGTGGAACTTCACGTCCTCCAGCTCCACCGATTTGTTGGTGCCCCCTGGGTTGGGTTGGGTTGAGTTGAGTTGGGTTGGGTAGGGTTATGTTGGGTTGTGTTGGGCAGGGTTGAGCTGGGTTGAGTTGAACTGGGTTGGCTTGAGTTGTGTTATGTGTTGGGTTGAGTTGGGTTGGGTTGGGTTGAGTTGAACTGGGCTGGTCTGAGTTGGGTTGGGTTGAGTTGGGTTGAGTTGGGTTGGTTTGAGTTGGGTTGGGTTGGGTTGGGTTGGGCTGGGACCCCCGTTCCCCCCGCGCCCCGCAGCCGCACTCACTGCCCGTCAGCTCGAAGAGGACGCGGTCGTTGAGGCCGAGGCGCAGTTCGGGCATCCCCGAGAGGAAGACCTTCAGGCGGATGCTGCCCACCACCTCGCTGCGCACCACGCTGCCGCTGGCGCTCACCTGCACCAAAGCCGCAGCCGCTGCTGTTTTTGGCAGCGCCGCAGCCCGGCTCCGTCGCCATCGGCCCTTCCTGGCCCCATCCCAACTCCCAGCTCTGCTCCCATCCTTCCCAGCCCCAAAACCACCAGCCCATCCACCCCCCTCAATCCCATCCTCATCCCATCCCCGACCCAAACCCAATGCCATCCCAATCCCAAACCCGACCCACACTAATCCCCATTCCATCCACATCCCGAACCCCATCCCATCTCATTCCAATCCCAATCCATTCCCAACCCAATCCCATCCCAATCCCCAGCCTATCCCAATCCCAGTCCCAAACCCACCCAATCCCACCCCATCCCCAATCCAAACTTCATCTCCTCCCCATCCCAATCCCAAACCCAGAGTCACAGAACCGCCAAGGTTGGAGAAGACCTTTGAGATCATCCAGTCCAACCGTCCACCCGTCACCAACAGCGCTCACTCAGCCATGAACCTCCACACAAAACCCAGACGTAATCCCACCCA